CTGTCTCGAATCACCTCCCTGTCCTCCACGTGCCTCAGCATAGCTTCCAGGAGGATCTGTTCCGTGGTCTTGCCAGGCACAGAGGTGAGACTGACTGGCCTGTAGTTCCCCGGGTCTTCCTTTTTTCCCTTTTTAAAAGGGAAAGGCTCGAGCACTTGCTGGTGAAGACCGAGGCAAAAAAGTCATTGAGTACCTCCGCCTTCTCCGTGTCCCGGGTAACCAGGTGTCCTGTTTCGTTCTGGAGAGGGCCCACATTTTCCCTTGTCTTCCTTTTATCCCTGATGTACCTATAGAATCTTTTCTGTGGATAGAACTGGTGCTTGGGTATTCAGCAACATCTGCCTAGTGAACAGGCCTCCTGATTTCCCTGGTAATGTTTTTGAGTAAGCAAATCCTAACCCAGTAACCTTGGAATGAACAATGAGCCTCAGAGTTGCTGCCCTGCAAATTTCACCCTGAAGCTGGAAGGGCTGCATATGTATGAGGCTGCAAAAGTGTTTCCATCCAAATAAATGAAGTACTGTAAAAATGTTGTGACTTTAGTTGAAGGAACCAATGAAAGTCAACGTGAGCAGTGAAGCAGACAACAACACGTACATTTCTATCATACATGAAGTTTAGAGAGACTCTTCCTAAAGAAAGGCAATGATTTGTAAACCTGAAGAGCAGTTAATTTTTAGCCTGGTTTCCTAAGGACATGAGGCTGATGATGGCGTTTTGTTGTTGGCTGAAGCTGATGTAAATCTTCTCTGCTGCTGAAAAGTCTCTCTCCCTGTCAGCCACCCGTTCCTTCCCCCTTTGTGGTGCCAGCTCTAGCACTTGTACAGCTGAAACAGGAGTCAGTAGCTCACTGGTCTGGCTGAAAACCAGTCCTCATAAGTCTCGTTCACTGCATAGCCACATGAGTTTTGAAGCTGTGGCAGCGGAAGGGTAGAAATTGTAAAGGAGAGGTGAGACCATTTCTTTTGTATGATGTACAGTTTACAGAAGATTGTGAAACCACACGCAACTTTCACGATCGTGTTCTGTTTGCCAGGCCCCCAGCCAAGTGACTGTTGAATTTATTGCCAATTCCATCCAAACCTGACAGAGGGGCAAGAGGTTTTGAAGGTATTAAACCTCTACAAGTTCCGTGTAAGTGGTTCACAGAGGAAAAAGGTTAATGCCATCCTTGGTGGAAAAATTACATTCTGCACTGCCAATTCTGGTTAGTGCATCAGCTGGCTGGCCAGCCAGTATGCACATGCATAACTCAGGACTCATCCATGGCATATAGTGCCTTGTGCCCACGCAGTAGCTAGACATGGAAGATGCAGTGATGATGTTCGGCTTTTATAGGTGGAACGGAAAAGGTCACAGAGCACGTGAAGGGTTACGATGGTGACTGTGTGGAGGGACATAGATCATGAATCAATGGTGATCCAGCTCCTTGGCTTATGAAACAGCTTGATGGTATTTTTTATGAGCTTGGTGACTCAGGGTTAAAGGAAGAACAGGAAAAAAAGAGGATATTTAAAAGTGAATTTTTTGTTCTCTGTGATTTCTTTTCACTTCGGTTTACCTAGTATGAGCATTCTTTCATTGTTTTGTGTTTTTTGTTTTGCTTGCCTACAGCAGGGCTTTTTTAAAAAGCCTTTATTACTCGTGAAGTTTTGCATAAAGTTTCAATCTGTTTCCTTTGAATCACACAGTTTAACAAAGGGAATTCAGAACTTGAACTGAAAAGCTCAGGAAAACTCAGTAAATATTCACACTGAGTTTGTCATTAAATACATGTATGCAAGAGTCCTGCTATCGAGAAGGATATTTGGACTATGTATGGTAAAACTAAAAATGTCCTGCCTTTAGCCAGCAAGTCTGAGCTCCATAACAACACATCCCTTTACAGTGTAATGTTATCTTCCAGAGTGGCAAGGAGTCTGAACTCCAACACTTGGACTGGACTTGGTTCAGAATTGGAATTGACTCTGACTTTGAAATTACCACTTTTTACTTAAGGGAACTTAGGCTTCTTAAATCTAAGAATACGATTAAGTTTTATTTGGACTATCAAGAACATAATCCTAGGCCCTGCATTATTTTAAAACTACATTTCTTCTGCCCTGAGTCTTTAAGTGCATTGCAATATTGGACTGGAATAAAAACCAGCAATCTTCTACAACCAAAGTACTGGGGGAGGGCAGTGACTGGATCAGCGTTAGAGGCATATGGGAGATTTTAATTTTTGTGTTTCTGACTATTAATTATATTAACTAATACAACTTGTGCTGTTGATTTTCTTAGAGCGTGGTCATGGTTGTTTTCAGTGAGGATAAAAACAGAGACGAACAGCTGAAATACTGGAAATACTGGCATTCTCGGCAGCACACAGCTAAACAGAGGGTCCTCGACATTGGTGAGTGTAAAAGGAGCTCCAGATGTTTCAGGGAAGATTGCAGAATGTGGAAAGCTCTGGTACCTTGCACAGGGATGTGGTGGGATATATTGGCAATGGCTGCAAGGCTTGTACCACAGTTTTTAGTAATGGCTCATCCCTGCTAGGACTGGGTTATGGGGTCTATGAAGCAGGATGGAGACCATGCAGAAGGAATGGTCCTCAGTAGTCACAAAGAAGAGCTGCCCCTTGCATGCGTATTTAACGGTGTTCCACCTTCTGCTGCTGGGAAGTTGAGGTCTGCATCTCCTCAGGAGTGGCAGAGTGTTTGTTTCCTTTAGTTTTTCAAAGGCTGATCCACTCTTTGATCCAGTAGCAGCCCACATAACAGTTATGTTAGCTAATCTGATGTGTAAGTGCAGCCTGAGAGTGAAGATGCTGTCGTTATGGTGACTGCAAAGGAGCGCACAGGACTCCTACATCCCCAGTTTTTGAGTCTTGTCGATGTCGGAGAGAAGTGAGGGAGAAGTGAGCTCTGGTGTGCTACCCTGAGAGACCTGTTTGCTGTTCATCCCATCTAAGGTATTTACAAGCCCATTTCAGCCACAACTGCCCTATCCGCATGCTTGGAAGATTTTAGCAGAGGAAGAAAGCGTACCTGCTGCCAAGGAGCCTGAAGTTGAAATCTGTGGGAGTGTCTAGACATCAAGCACTTCTTCCCTCTCATGTGCAGTTTACAGCCATCTGCAGCGGATTCCAGTCAAAGGAGTCGGCAAGACCAAAGCAGACAAAGTCTATCTTGTTTTGACCGCCTGAGGGAACCAAACCATTAAATGGCAGGAATGAGAGGGGGCAGAGAGGAGGGGGGAAAAAAAAGCAAGGTTACTTGGAGAGAGCCCTGCAAGACTTCAGGGGTGATTGAACAGGGTGGTCAGGGAATCAGTCCCTAAGTGGTCCTACTCATGCAGTGCCTTTCAACTTTCAAATGCTGCAGCCTCCACTGAGGCTGGCATTATTTAAAGTCAAATATATTTGGTCAAAGCAGCTCTTCCTGAATCTCCTCTCTGCCTCTTGTCTTATCATCATAGTTTTGGCTGAACTGTTTCTCCAACTTTTTTTTTTTTTCTCTTTTGTCCTTTGGGGTAGTTAAGGCAGTAAAACCTCCACCCCAGACCAAATGACTCCTATCATGACACGTTAAAAGAGCAAGTATGCCACGTCACAGCTATTTCTGAAGGCTGCCTGTTTTTTTGTGCTAGTCCCTACAAGCTTGCAGTGCTAATGCTCATACCTTTGAAGCTATGTGCTGAGGAGCTCGTTCCACTGCAGTGCCAACACCCTCTGACTCCACCGCACTCGTGGTGTACCAGCACATTTCAGTCCACTTACCTGAACGAGTCAGCTTATGATGCATATTCTGTAAAATAGTGCTCTGCAAAACAAGTGCTGTGCACGAGCTGCGTGTTTATCTGTGTTAGAGTGATTGTCTTTTATGTTTCCATTAGTTTGAGATGAAATAGGTCTGTGCTGACTTTTGAGGCACTCTGGCACGTATTCTTTATTTGGACTGCAAACATGAGCAAAGCCCAGTGTAGTAAGACTTACTGATATTGCACTCCCTGTCAGACGTAAGAACTGTAAGAGCACAGTTCACCTCAGCATTTTCAGAAGAAAGACCTAGATGTTGCTCAGTAGTGTTTTCTTGAGAACAACTGAAATACGGCCTTAGCTCTTACCAAGTACAGTGTTTCTGAAGTACATTTCATTTTCTTTGGGACTTACATTGTGGATATTGGGCTTATTAGGGCAGAATGGCTGCCAACTACACTTCCCATGCAAGCATCAAGCTGCATTTAGCAAAATCCTGCAGTTTTATCATTAGATGATGATTAAAAAAACCCCAACTGAGCAACTTCATCCAAATTTGAAGTTGGCCCTGCTTTGAGTGGGAGTAGGGTAGGAGTTGAACCAGATAACCTCCAGGGGTCTCTTCCAAGCCAAATTATTGTGTGGCTCTATGAAGATTTCCCTTTACATTAAAAATTCAGATCCCTGAAGGGCTCCTGTAAAGGAATACTGAGTTAGGGTCCAGGCCCTGTGTAGTTAACAGAATTAGGTGTCTATGAGGGAGATTAGCAAATGCCAGTATATGCCATGGAGAACCATTTAAACAGGTAGTGAGAGAAGCTTGCTAAGGACAGGGGTGTGTAACAGATTTGTTCCATCTTCAGGGGATGGTCTGGCAATCTGCTGGTAGTCACACTGCTCTTTTATTTTGGATTTCACTCCAACTATCAACACTATATAAAGGGTTAATCATGTATTAGGCTCCTTTAAAACTATCTGTGATTAGCCATAAATCTGTGTAACCTGTTCCATAGATGTTTTTAATCATTAATATTATTTTAACTTAATGTTTGTAGCTTATGTTTAACATCTGTGAATCCTTTTTAGTTGTTTATTAATGCACTTTTAATCTAGAGCACGACTTGGTCCTTAGCAGGCAGAGAATAAAATGAATTTGCGATGTTCTAGTTCTGGGGTCCAGCTATTCAGCCCTCAGATAGGGGTCACGACTCTACTTGTGCTGCTTCCCCTGGTGGCACAGGTCTGTCTGTCTGCCTTCTGGCCTGCAGTTATATTCTGGAGATCAGAGGAAATAGAGTGACTTGTTCCCTCACTCCAGACGTGCAGGGGTCACTGATTTAATTTGTTTTGTGTGCTGGCTGGTGCACCTCCTGAGAGGAAGGATGGTTGAATGGATTAGATGCAGTACTAGGTCTGATGAAGATGCATTGATATTAATAGGATAAGCATGTACTTACATGTAAGTAAGTCCTTAATGCTTGAGGAATAAACCTGAGGACTTGACACTTGCTAAGCAAGAAGGAAGGGTGTTTTCCAGAATTTAGGCTATGTGCTGTTATGGATTTTTCCGAAGGAGGAGGGAGGCACTTTCACTGTTTTTAGCAGGAGTTGGGGGGAGGGGCAAGCTGACTTTTCCACAATGCTGTGCTGTGACATTGGATCACTAGCTTTTTCTTTTAAAATAATGTCAAATAAAAAATACAATACTAGATTGCAGCAAATATTGATTATTTAGAATTGACAAACACCGGAACAGGTTCAAACATGGACATAAAGAGTGGGTCTGGAAGCTTTATATTGGGGTTATTTGTGCTCCACAGTCTTGCCCATATTTTTTTTGCAGGATAGTTTGTATTATTTATGTGCACAATACAAACACTACTACAATGGTATGTAATGCATGCAAATGATTAGTGTTTAATGTTGAAATTTGCCATCGTTTAATATGCAGTTTACCCAACAAAAGAGGAAGTAATTCCTGTAGAGCCGGTTTTTTGCATATCGAAGAACCCCAATTTTCTATTTCTGGTAACTCACAGCAGCAGAAGAGGAAAAATTGTAGTCACACTAACAACTTTCAAATATCCTTAGATGTAAATGGTTTCTTAATGTACTGAGGATCCTTCTTTAATTATCTGTAAATTGAGGGGAATAGGATGCACTTCTGCTTTTAAACAGCATGTCACATAGACACTCCATGAGATTTGTGTATGGCAATTAAGGAAGCGAAGGCATGTGTTGGGGGAAGGGAAGGTTTGGTGGGATGCGAGGTTCTGACAGACTTTTAGGAGAAGAAAACATGTGTCTTTACAAGACATCTTGTTCATGTCTTTCCAAAGTGCACCTACACAGCACGCCCATATGCAACAGTCAGTTGCACGAGGCACTTTCTGGTGAATCATAAAGTTAAGGGGTGGGTGGATGCATGCACATGCATATTAAACTACTTATGTGTCTTCTAATTCTTCTCATTTGCATTCCTACACTGAATTTAGATAGTGAAGCCAATGACTTCAGTTAGAGAGGAGATCTGAGTTCATGGTGGAAATGAAAAGCCTGCCTGCCCTCTCAAACACCATGTTCACTTGCTGCATCATCAAATGTCTTGTGCTGTTCCTATGGTCAGAACAGTGAATTTTTACTGTACCCAAAATCATTCATGTATCCCAGGCACACAGTTTCATTTGTCCAGTGAAATGCCAGCATCCCTGCGTTTCAGATGAGAGAAAGGTATACTGATTGCACATCTCAAATGTTAAATAATCCTCCTTGCAGCAATGGTTTTGTTATAAATTATTTTAAAGCAGTTATTACCTAGAAATTATTTTTTAGAGACCAACGGTTTATTTTTAGAAGGGCAAAGGAAATGAATATTGAAACCATTTGGGTGTCTCATTTATAGAATACAAAAACATCCTCTTTCTATAACTGATTACAAAGCTAAGAATCAGCGCACTTCTGAAGCGCAGATTTGGGGAAACTTAGATCAAGATTGCTGCATGACGTAATCTCAACCCTCTGGCACCGAGTCCAATTACAGCCATTACAGCCCTGGAGGGATTCTAAGGAAATGTATATGTCCCAGAGAGAGTTGATGTATTTGCGTGAAGAATCTGGAAGTTCCTTTAATCAAGCGATACTACCTCCTTACAAACCTGGTCTTTCTCTTAATGTGTCATCAAAAAGAAGAAAGTGTGTTAACCTGGCTGGCAAAGGGAGAGAAAAAGGAGGCTTGTTCCTCTTTTCGATTATAAAGACAACCTGGAAGTTGTCTGTCTTACATGGTTTTCCGCCCTTACTGTTTTTGAGGAGGGGGGTAGATCATCTTTGAAATTTGGACTTCCTCCCTCTTGCTTTGCATTCCTTCTGAAATAGTAGGTTATTGATAATATTAACAGCCCTCTGGAAAGAAGTGAGAAGAGGGTGCAGATTTTGTAGTCAGACAATTTAAAAATACTTTGTTTGTTTGCTATTTTAGTATCATACACACTTTGGAGAAAGGATCTTCGTGTGTTTGGTTCTTTGTTTTGTGGTTTGGGTTTTTTTTCTTTTTCTTTCTTTTTTTTTTTTTTTTTTTTTAAAATAGAGATCCAGCATCCAGTGCAGTAATTCCTGGGAAAGTTGAAACAGCTGTGCAAGAAATGTACACTACTGATTATTTCCTCCAATGATAGCTCTTAGCCTTTTAGAAAGCTTCTTTAAGATTTATCATAATGTCATTTATTTATGTCAAGGTTTGAACAATCCCTTTAAGTGTTTCAATAGCTTTTAGTTAATTTTCCAGTTTTGGCCATTCCTTGGCCAAGCTAACGAATGCACCTACTCATTCCTACTACAGTCACACTGATTCCTTTTTAAGAGCAAGCAATATTTTGCAAGAACATTAGCTAGTGATACACTATATACTATAAGCTGTAGTGTATTACCTCTTTGCAATTAAGCTTATAATTCAACATAAACAATACAAGAGGTAGTTTTGATGCATTCGACAACCCATCTGAAAAAGCAAAGATGTACTACGAATTGTAAAAGAGAAAGTTCAAACCTTTTTCATGAGTCGTTTGTTTGTTTGTTATTTCTTACAGCTGATTACAAGGAGAGTTTTAATACCATTGGGAATATTGAAGAAATTGCATTCAATGCTGTGTCCTTTACTTGGGATGTCAATGAGGAGGCAAAGGTGAGGAAAAGCCATGCAGATGGTATCCCTTTACAAGTACCATCCATCCTTAGTCACTGTTCCACTTCTCTCCTTTTTAACAAATAATAAGAAGGATAGGTGGAGGTGAGCGAGCTCAGTCTCTGCAAAGCCAGGTAAACCGTGGTCTTTCACTGACCCCAGGGATTCTGGCCATCCGTAAAAGGCAAAACAGTATGTAACGGCTATCGGGATGATACTGTGTTCACACCTGTATCACTGACAAACAGAGATGTAGTTCTGAGGAAAACCTGCAGGGCTCTTTCAGTGTAGTTTCTTACTTGTGGCCTCTCAGTGATTTTCCATTTAAAATATGCCCAGCCTGAGAAACAGTAAAAGTGTTTTTCCTACTTGCAGAGTCAGTGTAGGACACAAGGTGAATGTTTTCCTTCTCTAAATTATCAACTTCCTTTCTACACTATTAACGTCTCCAATAATCAATGTTCTGAAAGCTAGACTATGCTTTCCCTTGTGTTTGTGCCATTATTTTTTATAGTGTTGCACAGACTGTCCTTGCAATTGGGAATGAACATATTTTTGAGGACTGGTGCATCCTTCCCTTCCCTTCCCTTCCCTTCCCTTCCCTTCCCTTCCCTTCCCCCTTCCCTT